CCTTGCTGGACACTCTGCTGCCCAGAATACTTTCTTTTTTAGAGAGAATTTTTTAATATTTATTTTTCAGTTTTCAGTGGACACAACATCTTTATTTTATGTTTATGTGGTGCTGAGGATCGAACCCAGCGCCCCGCGCATGCCAGGAGAGATGTTACTGCTTGAGCCACATCCCCAGCCGCGCAGGATACCTTCTATTTTTGGCCAGCTACCAGCTGCATAACCCTCTCCAGCCCAGACTTCCCCACCTCTTAAGCCACACAAAGCGCTGACCCCATTGGCTCTGTCTCAGGGTGGCACATGGAATCCCCATAACCTCAATGGCTGCAGCTGCCAGCCTCATGCTGCCTCTCCATCCCAGTGGTGCCAGCTACCTGCCTTCCTAAAACGCCTCTCCCTTTGCCCAACTCCTACTTAGACATCAGCAGCGCTTCTAAATAAGAGGTCCAGGAGCCCCCAACTTCAGGCACAAGGTTCTGTGCCTCTGCCTTTTTTCTGAGGAGAGGCCCTATGACTGTCATGCCTCGGCTGCCTAAAGTGACCTGAGACCTAGGGTGCTCAACTGACTTTCTAGGCCCTGAGATCTGGATCCCACAGCATCTTCAAATTCCAGCTCAGCCTGCCCTGCTGTGTTGACATGGGGCAAGACTCATTTGTCAGTGCCTCTTTACAAATGGGTTAGGTGCTAGGGCCTGCAGCACAAGGTGAGCAGGTATTGTATACAAGCATCTGCTGCAGTGTGGGACCCTCCAAGTCCGCTTTGTAAGTGGGGGCACTTCCTACTGGCCTCCCACCCTCCATGGCCCTGGGTTGTGGGTGGAGCTCACTTGCCCTTGTGGCCTTGGGGAGCTGAGCTGAACTGCAGAAGGTGGATATCCTAGGAAATACTTTAACAAGCCTGGGGCAGAAGTTTTTCATGTTTCCCCCCAGTGTCGGGGCAGTGGTGGGCTGCCCTCCACACATGTCCCACACCTGCTCCTCCTCTCCCAGAGCATCATCTACTATGTGAGCCGCTCCCCAAAGCTGGAGGCCTGGCTGAGCCACGAGGGCATCGCAGCTGCTTTGCGGCCTGTTAGAGCCCCCGGCTATGCTGACTCAGATCCCACCTTTTCGCTGAGTGTGGATGAGGACTATGACCTTCGCCTTTCCGGCCTCTCGCTGCCTTCCTTCTGTGCTGTGCACCTCGAGTGGATCCAGTACTGCGCCTCCCGGCGTGGCCAGGTTGGGCCACCACTACCCTGGGGCTGCCCCCACCAGGCCTCTGGGGACCTGAACCCTCTTCCACTTCTCCCCTTCCCATTTGGGTTCTTCTCACCCTGAGACTCCCTTGGCCTGGGCCCTGGCCCCTACCTCAAGTTCCCAGTCCCAGGTCTGAATGGGGCTCTGGGGACGGGGCTCCTTGTGCCACAGCCCGTGGAGCAGGACTGGAACTCGCCGCTGGTCACGCTGTGTTTTGGCCTGTGTGTACTGGGCCGCCGGGCCCTGGGGACAGCCTCTCACAGCATGTCTGCCAGGTGAGTGCATGTGTCCTGCTGGTCCTACTACTCTTCCCTCACCCATGCAGGCAGAGCTCAGTGGCTCTGGAAACCGAGTTGGTCTCTCCTGTTGGTGTAGCTTGTTTCATATGGGCCAGGCGCTTCTCAGTCATCACTTTGCCTGTTCCTCAGCACTCTGAGGGACATGGGCAGAGACTGGCTTCCTTGGAGAGATGTGAAAACTGAGGTTCAGTGTGAGGAAAGGTCTCAGCTCACATGATTCAGAAACCTGAGATGCCTGGCTACTTCCCACCCCTCGTTCACCTCCCTGTTCCTCCTCCCTGACCAGCCTGGAGCCCTTCCTCTATGGCCTACACGCTCTGTTCAAGGGGGACTTTCGCATCACCTCCCCACGTGATGAGTGGGTCTTTGCCGACATGGACCTGCTTCACCGTGTAGTGGCACCTGGGGTTCGCATGGCCCTCAAGCTTCACCAGGTGGGAGAGTGGTGTGCCCAGGCTGCTTGGGCGGATGGGGGCTGAAGGCTTCACCCAGTGCAGGGGCCCCTGACTCCTGCCCTCCCATCCCCGCTGCCAGGACCACTTCACATCCCCAGATGAATATGAGGAACCTGCGGCCTTGTATGATGCCATTGCAGCCAACGAGGAGCGGCTGGTCATTTCACATGAAGGTGACCCAGCCTGGCGTAGTGCCATCCTCAGCAACACACCCTCCCTGCTGGCACTGCGCCACGTCATGGATGATGCGTCTGATGAGTACAAGATCATCATGCTAAACCGCCGCCACCTCAGCTTCCGAGTCATCAAGGTGGGGATGGCCTACCTGCCCTGGAGCTAGATCCCTGTCCATGGAGCTAGATCCCTGACCCTCAGTGTGGCTGCCCACAGGTGAATCGAGAGTGCGTGCGTGGCCTGTGGGCTGGGCAGCAGCAGGAGTTGGTGTTCCTGCGTAACCGCAACCCTGAGCGTGGCAGCATCCAGAACGCCAAGCAGGCACTCCGCAACATGATCAATTCCTCCTGTGACCAGCCACTGGGCTACCCCATCTATGTGTCACCCCTCACCACCTCACTGGCTGGCAGCCACCCCCAGCTGCGAGCGCTGTGGGGCGGCCCCATCAGCCTGGGCGCCATCACCCGCTGGCTCCTGCGCAGCTGGGAAAGGTGAGCCCTCGCCGCCACCCCTAGTCCATAAGGCCTCATAAAGGGCTGAGGTGCTGGGCTTCAGAGGGAGCGTAGGTGCAGTTCCTGCCCAGGTCTTCAAGTGAAGAAGTGTTGGAGCTAGGGCTTGAACCCCCCAAAATGGCCCCTCCCAGAACTGATGTGAGCTGTCATCCCCAGAGGTGTCCCCTTTTCCCTAGAGCTGACAGTSGCCTTTCATCTTTAAGCATAATTGAAAACTCTTGTCAAAAGGCCCTTAGAGGTGAGGACCTGGGGCTCCCAGACATTGGATGACTTGTTCTGGGGATGGGGACTTATGCTCGTGAGGCCTGTGGCCACAGCCTTGTCCTTCCTGGCCCTTTCATCTCCCCACCTCCAGGCTTCATAAGGGCTGTGGTGCTGGCTGCAATAGCGGTGGAAATGTGGATGACTCGGACTGTGGTGGGGGCAGCGGCCTGACTTCCCTCAGTGCTAATCCCCCCTTGGCACACCCGACGCCTGAGAATACAGCAGGTGAGCAGGCAAGGCTGGGCTGACTTGGTGGGTGAGGATGGCAGCCAAGCTGAAGTCTGCTCCCTTATCTGTGTCTTACAGGCAGTGGCGACCAACCCCTCCCACCAGGCCCTGGCTGGGGGCCGCGGCCTTCCCTGAGCAGCTCTGGTGATGGACGCCCCCCTGCTCTATTGCAGTGGCCTCCCCCTCGGCTCCCTGGTCCACCCCCTGCCTCACCCGTTCCCACTGAGGGTCCTCGGTCCTCGCGGCCCCCTGGTCCTGGTCTCGGTTCTGAGGGGCCAAGTGGAAAGTGGAGCCTAGGGGGTCGGAAGGGTCTAGGAGGATCTGATGGAGAACCAGCCTCAGGGAGCCCCAAAGGAGGCACCCCCAAATCTCAGGTAAAGGGCCTGTCGGAGGGTTGGGTTGCAGAAGGCTCAATCCTGCTCTCCTGCCAACCTGTCTCTTCTCCCCCAGGTGCCTCTAGACCTCAGCCTCAGCCCGGATGGCAGCTCTGAGGCCTCACCCCCCAGAGCAGCACAGGATATTTCTTGCTTGGACAGCAGTGCTCCCGAGAGTGGTACACCCACTGAGGCCCCAGCTGACTGGCCTGTCCCTGCTGAGGAACGCGAAAGTCCGGCTGCCCAGCCATTGCTGGAGCACCAATACTGAGCAGCCTGGCGTCCACTGGATCCCATCATAGGACTCAGTAACTTGGACTTCCTCTGCTGCCTCTGGCCCTCTCTATTGGACCACAGAACTGAGTGGCTTTGGCTCCCACATCTGAACCCTGACCTCTGGCTGCCTCAGCCAAAGTACCAGAACTGAATGGCCTGGACCTCTGACCTTGACCCCTGATCTCATTCCTAATTTACGGCCTGGGTACCCCAAACTGAGGCAGTCAGCTTCCCAGCCAGGCCCTAAAAGCCAAACCCATGGGCTGGTCCCGCTTTGAGCCCATGGCCAGGACTGACTTGGTCCCTGGGCCTGCACTGCCTGCAAGGGTGGTCCCCTTGTCCTGGACCTGGGGCTTGAAATGTGGCAAGGGTTGTTTCTTTCTTTTCTTTTTTTTTTTTTGGTCATTTTTTTTTTCGTGCTTCAGAGACACCAGAATTAATAACACTATTTTTGATTTTGATTGGCAGTTTCTTCTCTCTGAAAATGGGTATAGGGTAGCGATGGGGGCTGAGTATGGGTGGATGTGCATGGAAGGGGGCTGAGGGATGAAGGGGATAGGGGTCAGACCAAGGTGGGGACCAGGTAAGATGGGTCCTTTTCCCCACAATTCTGTTCCCTTTAGAAGCCTTGAGGTGAAGGTGGTTGTGTTGCATTTCCCATTCCAGTATGTTCAAAAATTTCCAGCCCTATGGATCCTACATTCCTCAACCTTGACCTTGGCCATAGCCTTTCTCTGAACCTCAAATACTCCAAGCCTTAAAGAGGTGATGAGGACACCTTTGTAAGGTGTTCTACAATAAATGAGACAGGTGTATAGAGCATTTACCCAGAGTCTGGGGCTGGGCATCCGGGGCACCTGCTGAGTGCTGGAGGGGAGCTGGACGCAAGGTGGCCTCTAGCCCTTCCAGTTGATCTGGAAGGCAGATACACTTGTTCCCATTTCTCAGCCAGAAGGTGGGCCCAGCATAAAGGGTGGCAGGAGGCGCCTAGGTCAGCCTGGCCTCCTGCTGAGCACTGGTCTGACCSTGGCCAGGCCTGGAGTCCCCGCCCCCTGTGCTTCCCGCCGGCCGCAGACAGACCCAGGCGCGCTTGAAGCAACCGCCCCGTCCCTCCGTCTGACCACGCCCCTACACGGCCCCGCCCCCAGGCGGAGCCGGAGCCCAGCCGGGAGCCGTAGCTGGAGAACAGGCAAGATCCCGGCGCGGGAGGCTGCTGTGATCGATTGGGCGGGAGCCCCAGAGGTACTGGTGGGAGTGGGATTCGGGAAGACCTACGGTCGGGCAAGACAGGGACAAAGTGGCCTGGACGCAGGCACTGGTGGTGTTGGGGTGGAGACGAGGCTTCTCACCGCGTTCGCTGCCTGCACTCTCCCAACCTCCCTCCGGCTCCAGCTCAGTCCCGAGTCAGCATGTCCAGTCCTCTGCCTCCGTCTGACGACTCCCAGTCCCTCCTCTGCATGACGGCTTAACCCGACTGGTGAGCCGGTGAGTGGATTCAGTGACGCCTGACTCCTCTCTGGCGCTGGCAACCGCCCCTCCTGCTGAGTTGGGGGGTACTCCCCCTCTTCTGGGTCTCCCCTTCTCTTTGGGGGGCCTCCTCTCCAGCTTTTGCACACCACCCCCCAGTCTTGGGCCTGGGCTGGGAGGAAACATCTGTCGCGCCCCCTGGCAGCAGAGATGGGGTCATGACCTCCAGATGTGCTGGGAAGCGTCCAGGGCCGCCTCCTGGGGCAGCCAGGCCTTCCGGATCTGTGGGGGCGGAGCTGCCCCTTCCCCGCAAGTGACACAAACTGCAAGGAATGTCCTGGCCTCAATGGACCCTGTGTAAAGCTGTGGGATGGGGGGCAGAATCCAAGACACCCCCAAGGCAGGGCTAGAGCGCGGCACTGGGCCAAGGCAAGAGTYGATCCCTGGGCTGGGCTGCACACACTCACAGAGCTCCCTTACACACACGTCCAAAGCTTAGCCACGAGGAGCAGGAACCTGCACAGACCCCCTTCTTCATACCCTCTCCCCACCCACCCCCATGCCTACCCAGCCCAAGCCTGCACGGGCCAAGAGTTTGGCACATGGAGCCTGCATCTGTCATGCACATAGATGGCTAGCTCCAATGGCTTCACCCTCCTTTCAGTCTCCCTGCAGTCTTCAGTGGGAACAGGGATAGTTAACTCCTTTTAGAGATGAGAAAACAGAGGCTCAAGGTCCACATCAGAGCCTGTCCCAAGAAACCAAGGTTGGAGGCACCCTGAGCTTTGGAAGCCTACCCTTGTTTGGTTCTGAAGACCAGCTGAAAGTCCTCAGGCCCCTGCTCTGGCTGCCCACTCCATAAAGGGTTCACAGGGGCAGGGGGTAGCTCCCCCTCATGTTCTCACACCACCTTTCACACCTGCCCCTGGGCTCACCTCATTTCCTCACCCAGCAGGTCTCTGGGGCCTTGGGTGTCTCAGTCTTACATCCTGTGAGACCGAGAGCCTTGCTTGGCCCAACCCCCACCTGCTCCACACCTACGCAGGTTCCTTTTTTTTTTTTTTTTCATTTTTTTCAATACTGGGGATTGAACCCAAGTGCACTACCACTGAGCCACATCCCCAGCCCTCTAAGCACACAGGGACAGGGGTGTGCTGGTGCAGCTCTGTTAAGGCCCTGGAGATTCAGACTTTTTCTTACATGGAATTGCTAATAGGCAAGAGCATCTCTTTTCTGGACCCCAGACTGATCTGTTACATGAGGTTCAGACTTCCCTGTCCATATCACTGAGATCACATAGGCAGAGGTCCCCATGGATTCCAGTTCTATCAAAGAGGCTTGGGTGTTTAGTTCTAGCATGCCCTTTCCTGCTCTCAGGTGTGGGCATAGTAATCTGCAAGAGGATGGGCCTGGGGTCTCTCTCTCAAGTTAGGGTGATTTGGGTCCCATGACTAAGCTGAGTGATCCCAGCTCCTTCCTCATGATGTGTGGGCTTGCAAGGGGGCTGGGCCCAAAGATGGGACCATTTCCTGTGTTGAAGGAAGTCTTCTTGCCCTTCCTGTGGCCCTGGGAGYCCCTATTTCCCTGAGGTATTGAGACTGTAGGAGCCAGAGCACTGAGAGCAGGCCTCTGGGTGCTCAGGTCCTCAGGGACCCTGGAGGAAGTGGGAGGTGCAGGGAGGAAGGTCTCTGGGGACAGGACGTCCTCCCTTTGTCAAGCAGGCAGGACCCAGACACCAGTGGCCCCATGGGTTTCCCGTCTCAGCCCAAACCAGTTGTCTATCCTTTGGGCCAGGCATTGGCGGGGACCTTCACTCTGGGCCCAGGCCAAAGCAAAGGTGTGTTAAGTGGGACTTGGCAACCTCAGGGCTGCCTAGGCTTTAGGACCCTCAGGGCCAAGGCACCATAGCCCAGCCCACACTAACCCGGGAAGGGGCTGGAAACCTCAGCCCTAGGCAGACAAGGAAGTGGCCAGGAAAGCGGAAGCAGCTTTGATGGTCTCGGAGGGGGCCGGAAGCCAACCGGGGTGGTGGAAGACCAGGCTAGGGGCCTGGGTTCCTGTTTTCTCCCCAGGCCCCTCTGAACAGCCCCCTCCTCCTTCAGGGCAGAAACAGCTGCCACAGCCTCGGCCTGCAGGCTGGGCACCAAGCACCCTTGTCTGCCAATGCAACCCGGCCCCCAGAGAGTCAGGCCCACAGAGCATGCCCATGTGGGCCGGCGGCGTGGGGAGCCCTCGGCGGGGCATGGCCCCAGCACCCAGCGATGACCTCTTCGCCCGCAAGCTGCGCCAGCCAGCCAGGCCCCCACTGACACCACACACCTTTGAGCCAAGGCCAGCTCGGGGCCCACTCCTGCGCAGTGGCAGTGATGCAGGCGAGGCCCGACCCCCTACGCCAGCCAGCCCTCGGGCCAGGGCCCACAGTCACGAGGAAGCCAGTCGTCCTGCTGCAGCCCCCACCCGGCTCTTCACGGACCCACTGGCATTGCTGGGGCTGCCTGCTGAGGAGCCAGAGCCCACCTTCCCACCAGTGCTGGAGCCCCGGTGGTTTGCTCACTATGATGTCCAGAGCATGCTCTTTGATTGGGCTCCACGGCCACGGGGAACAGGGGGCCATGTGGAATCCAGCTCTGGGACCCGGGCCTCAGCCGAGGACCAGGCTGCGAGCTCAGACCTGCTGCTTGGGGCACCTGGATTTGTGAGCGAGCTTGGGGGTGAGGGCGAGCTAGGCCTAGGTGGGCCAGTGTCCCCACCTGTGCCCCCTGCACTGCCCAACGCATCAGTGTCTGTCCTGGAAGAGCCACAGAACCGGACTGCGGCCTACAGCCTGGAGCACGCAGACTTGGGTGCTGGCTACTACCGCAAATACTTCTATGGTAAAGGTGAGTGCAGGCTGTCTGGGGGAGAGGGAGGAGGGGGCTGGGACCGAGGTCCCTGTCACCTGCAGTGCATACAGTAGAGGGGTCAGGGTTTTGTTTTGTTTTGTTTTTTTCCTGTAAAGTACCTGGCTTCAGGAGGGAAAGGGGCTGAGCCAGGGCTCTGCTGGGCTCACCTCCTTAAGGGCAAGCCATGGCCCTTCATCCCCAGCCAAGGCACACCCTTCTGGCTCATCCTCGTAACCCACCAAGATGGAAAGAGATTTTCTGTCCACATTTCTGTGAGGGGAAAACTCGGGCCTGAAAGGCCTACACTTAGAAACCTTGTTCTCACCTTTGCTATGAAAAGAGATTCTCTTAGAACGAAAAATATGGGGGTAGGGATGGGGCCAGGCAGCATCTGCGCCTGGGTGCAGTCAGGCATTGGCCTTTTAGGTCTTGGGCAAGTTATGATGTGGGCTGGGCTTCAGAAGGAAGCTCAGGGACTACATTTGGTGAGATGGGACCTAGTGATAAGTGTGGTAGATCCTGGCGGGCAGAACTGCCAGGGGGCCCTGACTGATCGTCCATAGCCTGCCCCTCCCCAGAACACCAGAACTTCTTTGGGATGGACGAGGTGCTAGGCCCGGTGGCAGTAAGCCTGCGGCGGGAGGAGAAAGAAGGCAGCGGAGGGAGTACCCAGCACAGCTACCGCATCATCGTCAGGACCACACAGGTGGGCCAGGATCATGGGATCAGGACGCAGGTCCCCTCATCCTTACCCCATCTGGTCCTAAGTGCCCCAACATCCCTTCAGCTCCGGACCCTCCGAGGCACCATCTCAGAGGACGCACTGCCACCAGGCCCCCCACGAGGCCTGTCTCCGAGGAAACTTCTGGAGCATGTGGCACCACGATTAAGCCCAACATGCCTGCGTCTGGGCTCAGCTTCCCCCAAGGTGCCTCGCACCCTCCTTACACTGGATGAACAAGTGGTGAGTGGCCAGGATGGGGAGACCCTGCCTTATCAGTAGACCCAGTCTGCCCATCCCCCCAGCCTGGAGAAAGCCAGTCCATCTCCAGTGTTTCAGAAACCATCAGGGGTCATCTGGAGCCTTGTTTCTCAAAGGTCTGAAGACCACCAGCATCCTCAGCCTCTAGGGTCTTAGAAATGCAGATTCTGAGGTCTTAGGCCAGGCCCACTATACCAGAGTCTGCATTTAAAAAAACTCCACAGTGGTGCATGTGTACTTTTAAGACCCAGACTCCCTGGTCTGACTGACCCTAGGGCTTCTGCCGTTCTCTTGTCATTCCTGACCAATTTGCCTTGTGGCACCTGCTTGTTCTCCTTTCAATATGGTTTGCTGCTTCTTCCCAAAGTTTCCTGTTCTACTTTGGGACAGTCAGGCCAGCGGGAAATTCTTTTTTCTACCCTGTGCTAAAAGCTGCCCCCTGACCCTGACTCTCCTCTTCTGTGTCCTTCACCCATCACTCAACAAATATGTCTCATACACTCTTGGTGTCAGGCCCCAGGCTGGACACTGGGGACAGGTCCAGGCCAGGTGCTTTCCTTGAGTAGCTCACATCTGGGTGTGGAGAGAGATCTACTGAGAACTGTTGGAATACAGGAACAGAACATTAGTAAGGGGACTTTGGAGGGCTGGTGCTGATGCGCTTCCTCAGCTGGGGTTTTACACTATGGAGGTAATGCAAGAGCTCAAGCCAAGATGAGCGGGGTGTTTTTTGCAGACAATGTTGAGCAAGGCTTCTGGGCTGAAGAAACAACTTGGATGATGGTTGAGACTAAGAGAGTGTCACATGCACTTTAGTGTGGGTGGAGGACAGCTTGAGGGGGGTGAGAGAGGCTTGCTTTTGGTCCCAGGGGCACTGAGAAGCAATGGTTGGATCTGAGAGGCACAGTGGCCCTCTGGTTACAGGAGACTAAGCTGGAGCAGAAGGCAGAGAGGCCAGGTCAAAGGTCAATACAGTTATCCAAGCTAGACATGTTGGTGATGATAGAGGAGGTGACAAGAAAGTGACAGTCCAGGGGTAGAGTCAGTAGCCCTTGTCACTGACTGAAAAAGGGAAGATTGAGACTCCTTAGCTTCTTGGCCCCTGAGAATGGTGTTTTCATGGAGTCGGAGACCCTGGAGGAGGAAAAGGGACCAGAGAGTGGCAGCGAGGAGATGAGGTGCCAGAGTGCTGGCAGGGTACCTGGCAGCTGGGGAAGGAGGCCTGGAGTTTGGAAGAATTGTCTGGACTGGACTCAGAGAGGGGGTGTCATCCCATGGAGGTGGCCACCGCAGCCACTGAGGGGAGAAACATAGGTGGAGAAGAGGCCCGGTTGTCAGAGCCAGAGGTGGCTGAGAGAGTCCTGGGATAGGGCTGCATCCCTTGGCTGCAGAAGAAGTGTGTGTGTGTGTGTGTGTGTGTGTGTGTGTGTGTGTGTGTATTGCCAGGGTTGAACCTGGGCTTCATGCATGCCTGGCTCTAGCTCTGAGCTTAGCCATGAAGAAGGGATGTAAGAGTTGGGGAGACCCCAGGGTTGCTTTAATGGGTTCAGAGAGCCTTGAGCTGTGCATGGTTATCCACAGATGGAAAAGAGCTGGGAACAGAGATGGTTCATGGGGCTGGGGTGGGGGCACCTCAAATTCAAAGAAGGGGATGCTGGTCTAGGCTTGAGTCAAGCAGGATGGCAACAGGAACATTTCTGGGCCACGAGTACACTGTGTGCGTGGCCTGCTCCATCGTCACAGGAGGACTAACCGCCCCCATCCTCCCCTCCTGAGCAGACTATACCCACTTGACTAGTGAGGACATAGAAGCTCAGAGAGGGCTGGGACTCAAGGCCAAACCCCCAGGCCAGGGTCCCAACTGTTCCCCATAACACAGTCAGGATGGGATTGATGGGATACTGAGGCCTGTGCCTTCTGCCACCCTCTTCTCCCCCAGCTGAGCTTCCAGCGCAAGGTGGGCATCCTGTACTGCCGGGCCGGCCAGGGCTCAGAGGAGGAGATGTACAACAACCAAGAGGCGGGGGCAGCCTTCACGCAGTTCCTCACCTTGCTGGGCGATGTTGTGCGGCTCAAAGGCTTTGAGAGTTACCGGGCCCAGCTAGACACCAAAAGTGAGGCCCTGGGGGCTAGTGGGGAAGGGGCAGAACTTGTACTGAGGGGCAGCATTCCTTGGGGTCCCTTGTGACTCTTTGTCCAGAGTCTGGGGCTGAGGACATGTCTGGCTGCAAAGCCAGGCTATGGGCTGGAAGAAGGGTCCAGGGCTGTCTTCCAAGGCCCCGGTACCCTATTGCCTAAGCTGGGGCCCAGTGGTTTTGGAGGTATCACCCCTCCAACATGGAAGCCAGCTTCCAGGGGAACACCCCACTTCCCTAGGTGGATGGGCCCCAGGGGCCTCTGGGAGAGGCCTCTGTGCTCAGGCCATCAGTTCCTCCTAACTCCTGTCTCCTTCTGAGACCCTTTCTCACTTCTGTCTTGTCCTGACCCCCTTCACCCTGGTGTGAGGCTGGAGCCTGCGGGGGAGGGGAGGGGAGCAGCCAAAGCTGAAGGCCTCAGACCCTGTGGCTTAGGCTCTGGCTGGTGGCATGAAGGGGTTGTCTGCCTGTTGTTGGAGCATGGAGGCTCCTGAGTGTGAACAGGATGGCAGGTTTAAGCCATCYGGACTCCCTTTGTTTTCCCTCTGTGTCCCCAACTCCCCGGCCACAGCGGATTCCACGGGCACGCATTCCCTCTACACCACGTACCAGGACCATGAGATCATGTTCCACGTGTCCACGATGCTGCCTTACACCCCTAATAACCAGCAGCAGGTGTGAGGGGCCTGGCACAGGGTGGGGAGTGGCAGGAGTTCTGGGGAGTCTTGGAGAGTGCTGTGTGGGTGGCAGTACTTGAGCCTTGGCCTGAGCTCTCCTGGCCCCTGCAACCCTTCCCTCTGGAAGCACCTTCCCAAAGATAAACACCTTATGCCTTCACCAGAGATAGGTGGCGGTGCTAGTCAGGTCGAGGATTTGCCCTGCCTGAATGAGGGGTTTGGGGGTACATAGTGCCTCTCGCCCACTCCCCACCATCTAACCCCCAGCTCCTGAGGAAGCGTCACATCGGCAATGACATTGTGACCATCGTGTTCCAGGAGCCGGGCAGCAAGCCCTTCTGCCCTACCACCATCCGTTCGCACTTCCAGCATGTGTTCTTAGTGGTGCGGGCGCATGCTCCCTGCACGCAGCACACGTCCTACAGGTGGGCACCTGGGTCATCCCAGGTTTCCCATGGGCACTGGGTCCAGGAGCCCCTCTGTTGTCCTTCACTGCAGCCTCCCTCTGCACAGGGTGGCTGTGAGCCGCACCCAGGACACTCCAGCCTTTGGACCAGCTCTGCCCCCGGGTGGAGGTCCCTTTGCAGCCAACGCTGACTTCCGGGCCTTCCTGCTCGCCAAGGCTCTCAATGGTGAGCAGGCAGCCACACATGCACGCCAATTCCATGCCATGGCTACACGCACGCGCCAGCAATACTTACAGGACCTGGCTACCAATGAGGTGACGACTACATCGCTGGACTCAGCTTCCCGCTTTGGCCTGCCCTCCTTAGGCGGCAGGCGCCGGGCGACCCCTCGGGGACCAGGCACTGAGCTGCAGGCGGCGGGTGCACTGATGTGGGGCGTGCGCGCAGCTCCAGGGGCTCGGGTTGCGGCCGGAGCCCAAGCAGGAGGACCCGACAGTGCCGAGCTGCCGTGCCTGCTGGGCATTTCGGCGGAGGCACTGGTGCTGGTGGCGCCACGGGACGACCGCGTAGTCTTCAACTGTGCCTGTCGTGATGTGCTGGCCTGGACCTTCTCTGAGCAGCAGCTCGACCTGTACCACGGCCGCGGGGAGGCGATCACCTTGCGGTTCGAAGGGGACCCCGGTCAAGCGGTGGGCGAGGTCGTGGCGCGCCTGCAGGTAAGCCTGGAGGAAAAGAGGCCAGGGAATAAACATGGGGTTCAAGGGCACTGGCCGCCAGGGTGCCCTCACGCGCCAAGAAGAAGCGTGTTTTGGAGTCCCCACCACCCCCGAAAGGGAAAGTCCGGGAAAGAGGCAAAACCAGCGTGGGGATTTAAGCTCCCGCAGTAGCCCTCTAGTGTCCGAGCCTCAGGTCTTCACCTGTCCGTCGGCCACTAAAGCTCTTCAGGGAGGGCGGGGAAAGCCTTGCCGTGAGGCGGGGCGAGGCGGGGCCCTGGCTTGGCCCCACCTCTGGTAGCCCCGCCCACACCCCACCCCGTCCTGCAGCTGGTAAGCCGAGGTTGCGAGACCCGGGAGCTGGCGCTGCCCCGCGACGGCCAGGGCCGCCTGGGCTTCGAGGTGGACGCAGAGGGTTTCATCACGCATGTGGAGCGCTTCACGTTTGCTGAGACTGCTGGGCTGCGGCCCGGGGCGCGCCTGCTGCGCGTATGCAGCCAGACGCTGCCCAGCCTTGGCCCCGAGGCTGCTGCCCAGCTGCTACGCTCTGCACCCAAGGTCTGCGTCACTGTCCTGCCCCCCGATGAGAGCGGCAGGCCCCGCAGGTCAGGGCGCTGGGGACACTGGGTAGTGGGAGGACTGGGCAGCCTGTGCCTCCTGTGTGGCCACCAGCATTCTCAGGATTTGCATGTGTGTGCTTTGAGAGTCCTTCGTGCCTGACCTCTCTGAACTGCACTTTACATAGAGTGGAACCAATTAAGCACTATTGGTTTCACTGCTCACAAGATTAGATGGCCACCACTATAACCCCTCCCACTATTGTTTATTTACTCTGCTAAGGCTGTAAAGGGCCAGACAGTAAATATTCCAGGCTTTCTGGGACTTCCTGTCTCTTCCACATCTACTCATCTCTGTCGCTATAAGTAAATGAATAAGTGCAGCTGAGTTCCACTAAAACTATTTATGGACACTGAACTATTTGGATTTCAAATAGATGCTGCTTGCCTTATGAAGGGGTTACTGTAATTAACCGACATATCCCAGGGTCCAATAATCACAAGTCAAATTGTGTTAAGTCTGAACTAATTTCTACTTGTCATGAAATATTCTATTGATTTCTTTCAATTATTTAAACATCTAATCATTCTTAGCTCATATGAGTTGCTAAAACAGGCACATGTTCTAGAAAAGGGAAAGGCACTGGCCAAATTTAGCTCCAGGCAGTGAATTTGGGATACTTAGGCAATTGCATGGGCTGTTTAAACTCTCATAGCATGATACAAGCATAGCACTATTATCTCATTTCATAGATGGGACATTTGGAGTGATTTGCCCAGGATACATAGGACAGCACTGGGATTTGAGCCCAAGTCTGGAAGAATGGGCAGCAACTAGGCACACGTTTTTTACTGTTAGGGAGTTTGGAGCACTCTCCCCTGGTGGTGAGCCTCTGGCTGCACCTAGGGATGGGCCTGGTGATGCTGGGAGTCCTTCCTGATGCCACCCCTCCCCATCTTCCCCAGGAGCTTTTCGGAGCTGTACACGCTGTCTCTGAAGGAGCCCAGCCGGCGGGGAGCTGCAGAACCTCTGCAGGATGAGACCCCCAAGGTAGTCCTGCTGCCCACCACAAAGCAGCTGCTGCACCTATGCCTGCAGGATGGCAGTGGCCCTCCAGGGGCTGAAGATCTGGCAGAAGAGAGGACTGAGTTCCTACACAGCCAGAACCCACCATCGCCCCACAGGTGCACTCTCTTGGGCAGCTTGGTGGGGCCTGGGCAGGCAAGGCTCTGGGAAACCAGCTTCCAGGTCTGAGCCACCCCTGCTCTTCCCAGCTCCCTGTCAGATGAGGCCCCAGTCTTGCCTGACACCACCCCGGACCTCCTACTGGCCACCACTGCCAAGCCATCGACACCTGGTGCTGGCAGAGAGATACCTCCCTTCAAGGTGAGTAGAAACAAGGCTCTGGAGCCCAGTGGCATAGAGGTGACAGTTGGTATCACTGCATCAACATCCATTTCTGTCCCCCAGGACCGGACAGGCAGCCCCAGTGGCCATGAGGACTCAGCCCCAGAACTGAGGGCCTCCTTCTTGCCACGAACCTTGTCTCTGCGGAACTCCATCAGCAAGAGTGAGTCTGGAGTGGTGGGCACAGAGGGGGAGGGTGGCTCTGTGACTCCCCCTGCTGAGCCCCCTCCTGTGCCCACAGTCATGTCAGAGGCCGGCAGTGAGACCCTGGAGGACGAGTGGCAGTCCATCTCAGAGATTGCCTCCACTTGCAACACCATTCTGGAGTCACTATCCAGGGAGGGTAAGGCCACCAGGGTACTGGGAGGAAGAGCCAGGATGGGATGGATTCTTTCTCCCTTTCAGACCTGCCCACATGGCCCCTCTGTCCCATAGGACAGCCCATCCCAGAGAGCGGAGACCCCAAGGGAACTCCAAAGTCTGATGCTGAGTAAGGCTTCCCACCCTCACATAGCCCCTTCATGTGCCCTTCTGCCAATCTTTGTGCCTGTCCATTGGAGTTAAGCATTATCCACCTAAGTCTCGGAAGACAGGGTTTGGGCGCTGCACATTCAAGGGGCTTCTGGGAGTCAGCCTCTGGTGCTGCCCCTGTGATGGTCCCACTGAGTTCTGACGTCATGTCCTCAGGCCAGAACCTGGGAGTCTATCAGAGAAAGTCTCTCACCTGGAGTCCATGCTCAGGAAGCTGCAGGAAGACCTTCAGAAGGTGATGAGGTGGCCTGGGGCTGGCACAGAGTCATGGGGCTGCCACAGGAAAGGGGTGGCTGCTCTGACCCTGTTCCTGCTGGCCTGACACACACAGGAGAAGGCAGACAGGGCAGCCCTGGAGGAGGAGGTGAGGAACCTGCGGCACAACAACCAGCGGCTGCTGGCTGAGTCGGAGAGCGCCGCCACCCGCCTGCTCCTGGCTTCCAAGCAGCTGGGCTCCCCCGCTCCGGACCTGGCCTGAGCTCACCCACAGCCCCAGGCTAACTATGGACCTACTTAGAACTGCCTGGGCCCGGCAGGGTACTTGGGTCACACCAGCCCTGGGCCCTCCTCAGGATCCCTCCCTGCGCCAAGGCACGTCTGAGCACTGCCCCAACTCCCCAGTCCATTTGGTGGCAAAGGTGCCCCTATTCGTCCCTGTTTGTAAATATTTTGTGGAGACAAGGGGACGACAGGGAGTAAAGAAGCCACAGTATCAGTGTCTGTACATGTGTTCAAGACATGTTGTGGGGGTATGCCTGAGGCCACATGAAGCTCCCAAGACAAATTAGAAGGATAGGCCTAGGAATATTAGCCTAGGGTTGGGCTGGCTCTGAGGGGGTCTCTGCGGTTAAGCCACCTTTTGGCTTCTCTCCCACAAACATTTATTTGGCTCTGTTGGGAAATTGGTGTCCGATTTCCATATTCCACACCTACTCTGTTTAGGTCTCCTGGTTCTGGAACCAAACCCAGGGGCCTGAGATCAGGGACAGAGAAACAGAATAGATCTTCAAGACAGGGGAGGGACAGAGTTTGGGGGTCAAGAAGAGGCTGACTGTGCCTCATGTGTCTCTCAGGGAAGGCCATATTCCTTCTTTCTAGTCACTGAGCCCTCAAGCCTGGTACTCCCTTTGACCACCTGACCACATCTTGCAGGACCGAATTCCAGGGGTGGCAGCTTCTCTATTACATATCCCAGAGGACACTGGCCCTCAACCCACTTCTCTGCTCACTGGTCCACGATCCCCCACCAGACTGGGGCTATCCTATGAGAGGCACCATCAGGCCCAAACTTGGACTTTGTCTAAACCCTGTGTTTTCCAGGTTTCCAGTCTGAAACCCAGACAGGGCACTGACTTGTCCAACATCACGTGCTTCATCCAGGCCCTTCCCTAGGCTGGCTAAAGCTTACTCTGCTGAAACTAGGCCACAAGTCTCTGTTAACTTGGGCTCTGGGGGTGAACTAAGCTTTAAGTAACAGGGAAGATGAGGGAGGCTTCATGGAGGAGATGACACAAGGACTGAGTTTTAAAGGTTGAGTTGGAGTTGACCAGGCACAGTTGGCTAGGGTATCCCAGTAGGGTGTGGTCCTGTCACATGCAGAAATCCAGGATTCAAGTGGCTGGAGCTGGATCAGAAAGGGTTGTGGGGAGTGCACAAGCCATCCTGGAATGGCGGTTCTGAATACCGTGGCCCCAGCTTTTCTTGGTTGGGAGCTATAATAAGGAGTTCTTAAGTGGCAGTGTGGAAGGCAGGCTCTGGTCACTTTGGAAGTGTGTCTGCACAAAACTGGGACCTGACCGTGTGGCTGATAGATGTTTAAAGGGAGAGTGACAGGTGAGATTTGGGTGTGGAACCCTTTGGCTGCAGGAAGATGTAGCTAGCGGCAGTCCTGGAGGGAGGGAAGGTGACTTAAACGAGGTGATTACAGTGATGATGGGGAGAAGAGGCAGATTTGCCAGGATGTCATGAGGACTAGTTGCGAGGGCAGAAGAGGTGACATCCACAGTGGTGGCCAGTTTCCTGACCGCATCCCTTAGAAGGTGGCAGGGTGATGGCTGGAACAAGAGGGAAGGAGGGGCAGGTTGGGGACAGCTGAGGTCACTTGAAACGGGGCGAGTTTGAGAGACCTGAGAGACGTCATTGTGGAGATGTCAAGTAGGCTGGCCCACAGGGGAAAGAAGTTTGGGCTGGAGACAAAGATTTGGGACTGATGAGCCACAAGCACGATAAGGTCACTCGGGGAGTGTGGGAAGGACCATGAGAGGGCTTCCGGGGGTCAACGAAGGTCACTGCAGGACACTGGGAAAGCCAAGAAGAGCGAGGCGCTGCCTGGACTGAAGAACCTGAGCTCACTGGTTTCCCTCGACTTTGGGCTGGAACCCTGCGCGCAGCCTCGCGCGCGGCTTCCTGCGAGTTAGAAGCTGCCTCTCCACGACCGGTCCCGCCTCCGCTCCGCCCCTACCGCCCCGGCTCCAGTCAGCCCCGCCTCCCGGGCGCTCTCGTTCCGGCAGGTCCTGAAGTTCACCCGGGTTCTGACCCCAGGACCCGGCCACCGCTAGCTCGGGTTCCACCCCCGCAGCGGGATATCAGCTTGACCCGCTTTTGCTCCAGGACACGCCCCCGGGCACGCCCCCTGAGCACGAGGCCCTAGTGCAAGTTTGACTCTACTCCTCAGACAGCTTCCGGTTCCCCAATATTACGCTGCCCGCTGGCGTCCTGTTTTCAAGGCCCGATCCATTGGCATCTGCGCGTAGAGCCTATTCCCAGGGGACTCGTTAACTTTTGCAGCAGGTTCCGCAAATGTTATCTCGCTTGTCCCTGGGAGCACCCTTCTGCAACGGTGCGACACCATGTATCTCCGCCCAGAGGGAAAACCCCAAGCACTTTGCCTGGCCCATCGTTAAATGCCATATACGCATGAGCATCGAGATGGCTGGCCCGTCGGCCTACGCTGTTGGCTGCTGCGAGTGAGCCGGCTCAGGGCTGTGCTCTCGACTTTTACACCTTTGAGGTTGCGGGTTAGTATTCTGCCTCTCCTCCCAGAACAGAGTATCGAAGCATTGGTGCAGCAGGCATAGACCTTGACATCACCCTTTCCCCCCGCAGTCACTCCCTTGTCACTGAAATGTGAAACTAATGCAGGCCCTCTTGATCCTTTACTGCCAGCCTCTAACATGGTCTCAGGCCCTAGTGGCCTCCCAACACTAGCAACAGGTTTAACCTCTACTGATCTAAGACCTGGATGGAGTTAATGGTGCCCCTGTGAAGATTCTGAAACAGTTCCATCCCACCAGCCAAGGGGCCCAACTGGTCTTCACCACCTGTTTCCATCGACATCCTAAGACCACACACTCCCAAATGACAGTATGCATATTCACTCAACTGTTACCAATGTCCAGCCTGACATGACCAGCAACATACGTTCTGTGTTTGCTGAAAGACGGCAAATGTTTGGCCAGCTTGACAAAAAATTTATTAGTTCAGAATAGAAACAGCAAGAGTCCAATTGCTTTAATTCTTCAGTAGAAACTGCCTCTTAACTGGAGAGGTTCTAGCCACTTTTTTAAACTCTTCTTCTCCACTCTCCAAACAATCTGCCCCACTATTAAGGCACTTAAGAAAGGGGGGAGCAGGGAAGTCTCAGACCAAACTCCCTCAGGATCCAGGAGAGGGCGAGTACTATGCCATTGGTTCCCTTCAGCCACTGCTGAGCAAGGAAAGAGCTGGCAGAGACCTCTGCAGGGCAGGAATGCCAGTCCCTCAAGTGCTGGTGTTAGGCAGCGCCACCGAGGGTTTGGTGATGGAACATTATTTTGGATCAAAGTGTAAATTAATCCTTTATGTGAGGAAGACACTGAAAATAAGGCTTTGTGGCCTCAAGGGCCATAGCTCCAGCYTGCTCCTCTCTCTAGGAGAGTGCTAGAAGTTGGAGCATGGGGATGGGGTCCTCCCAGAGTTCCCTACAWAGGGAGATGACCATTASRATGGGGAAGAGTTATTCCCAGTTCCCCCATTTCCAGAGAAGTTAATGCTTCTGCTTAAGCACCTCCAAAAAGAGATAGATAGAAACTGCCAATGAAAGAATAAAATGTGCCCCCAAAAAGGCATTACCCAAAGGTATTGGGGGCAGCTGGAGCACACCCCCCAGAATCCATAAGTGCTTTGGGAGGGCTTCAATCCCCTGCAACCTGGTGCTCTGGGCAGGGCTGATATCACCCACTTAGGAGCTGATCTGACTCAGAAGGGCTGAGAAGTCCATGTCCACGATGGAGGAGAAGTCTTCATCCCCAGTGAGGCCATTGGGGAGCCCGGAGTTTCCCAGGGAGGTGGGAGCTGGGTCAGGGGGCCTCTGGGAACCTGTCACCAGGCGAGTGATGGCCTCAGGGTACTCCATTAGCATAGGCTCAGCTGTGGGGTGGGGCATCGATACACCCTGGTTCAGCAGCTGCTGAAACTCTGAGTTGTCGACTGACGCCAGGTCTGTGAATACGGCTGGGTCTGTGCTGTTGCCAAGCAGGGCCCCCAGATCTTCATCAGCATCGAACTGCAAGTGCAGCAGGGCCTCCGACAGTGTGCTTTCCCCGGCCTGGGTGGTCTTTGAGGCTGGTGGGGCCACAGCCTGGGGAGGGCCTGGGGCTAGGACTGGGCCAGGGGCTGGGGCCTGGGCCTGGGTCTGGGCCAGAGGTGGTGGCATGGATGGGGCTGGGACCAAGGCCTGGGCCAAGACTGGGACAGAGGCTGGTGCCAAGGCAGAGGCCTGGCTTGAGATCTGCCCAGAAGGTAACATCATGGGGGGAAACTCATCGAAGTTGATTGTGCTGAGGGATGGTGTAAAGGTGTAGGGCTGRGGAGCTGCAGGAGAGACAGAAAGGTTGAGGTCACAGAAAGCCCTAGAAAGACCCACCCTATTCTCTGTTCCTGAGCCACTCTTGATAGTGCTTAGGACCAGCCCTTCCCTTTTTGTTTTGTATTTTGAGACAGACAGGGTCTCACTAAGTTGACCAGACTGGCCTTAAACTTGTGATCCTCCTGAGTAGCTGGGATTACAGACGTGCCACACTACACCCAACTCCTGGCTCCCTCCTTGTAACCAATGTGACTTGGTCAACAGGGTCCAGTTCTAGCCACACTGCCTCCTTGGACACCCCCCCCCACCCGGCCGAATCTTAGAGCCCACAAAGGGCTCTCACCTCTGACCTCACTGTACAGCTGAAAAACCAGTTGAGGGGAGATGAGCCTTTGGAGGACCCAGTGAGCAGTGGCCTGAAGTGGGCACTTATCACTTTTTTGTTGTTGTTTTGCTTTTTGGTACCAGGGATTAAACTCAGGGCATTTACAACTGAGCCATATCCCCATCCCTTTTATGTATTTTCATTTAGARACAAAGTCTCACGAAGTTGCTTAGAGACTCAATAAATTGCTGAGGCTAGCTTTGAACTTGAGATCCTCCTGCCTCAGCCTCCTGAGGGGATTACAGGCCTGCATCACTTGTCTGGCTACTTATCACTTTTTTTAAGCCACATACCAACACCTCTTACTACTTTAGAGGTGCTTTTTGGTTTTTGTTTTTCCTTCTCTAATTCAATTGAGAGTTTGGGCAGAGATCATCCATTTTGATTATTGTTTTGGTACTAGGGATTGAACAGAGGGGTGCTTAATCACTTAAGCCACATGCCCAGCCCTTTTTTATTTTGAGATAAGGCCTCACTAAGTTGCTGTGACTGT